CCCCCCCCCCTCTAGGACATGACGTACCTGTGTATATCTGCTGCTGACCACTCTAAGCAGAACCTGTGAGTACTTATAATGCATACAGTATGTATATACGAGGTCCACTGTGTTTGGTCTTCAATATTGGATCTGATATTTCTACCATCTCATATCTGTGGCAAGTGTAATTGCAAAAAAAGGCTAAAAAGTCCAACATGAGTCTAATTTTATTTTTTTTAATAAAAAAACGAAATCTTATGAACATATTTTATATAAAGGTATTCCCATTCAGAATAGTTATTTAATAAAAATCACATATAGAATCCCACTACTGATTCATTAATTAAAACCAAAAGTTTACTATCAATAAAGTTGGAGTTGGAGGGCAGGTTCAGCAGTCTTATACCTCATCAGTACTTTATTTCTTTTATTAAGGTGAATTAAATAAATATATTAAATAATGCATACATGTTTATGAAATACTTCCAATGTGCTGGTTTAATGTATTTTTTCTTTCAAGTCTGTGTTACAGAGCTGTTTCAGTCCATTTTAATTCAGTGTGGTTAATGTGATCATGTTACCAGGACTCAGTACTTCAGAGACAGCATCATGTTTATCCACGAGTCCCGACTGAAAGGAGAGGGCTGCCTCGTCCACTGGTGAGTGAAAATAAAATGATTACTGCTTCATTTGTTCTTATTTAATGCACTTCATCTTACATTTGATTAAGGAACTACTTGAATTATGTTCTTATTAAAATAAAAATAATGTATATCTCTTATGTCTTGTTGTTTTAACTGCACTTAATCATTTACTGCATAGTACTTCAAATTTAAAACTCGATATTAAGTCATAATATCCTGTGCATCTGAGTGGTGGTATGAAACTGGTGTCATTTGCATGTGGAAAGGAAGCAACATAAAAATTCAAGTTTTGTTGACATTTGTTTATAATGATGAATATTTGGCTCAACTGACTGCAAATCCTCATATTTTATTAAGCCAGTTTTCATTTTCAACCACATCACTGTCACCAAACAGGGCAACATTTTGTTTAATGCTTTCATTGCAGATTTCATCACCTTTCATCTTCTCAAATATCAAACATGAAAAATCAAGCATTAAACCACAGCTTTAGGAAAAAAGGGGTTTCACTTCTTTGTACACTAAACAAGAGACTCTAAATTATGTGGTGATTACAGCTAGCATCATGCTGTGGGGCTCTGTGCTCTCAGTGTTGCAGGAGTGTCCCGCAGTGTGACTCTGGTGGTGGCTTACATCATGACAGTGACCGGTCGTGGCTGGGTGGAGTCCCTGGCGGCGGTGAGGGCGGCTCGGCCGTGTGTGGGGCCGAACCTGGGCTTCCTCAGGCAGCTGGAAGAGTTTGAAAACACAGAACTGACAGAAGTGAGTGACACTGATATCACTTTGTTATGCATCATACGTTTATTATGTCATTATATATTTCTGTAATTACTTCTGTATATACTCATTTTCATTGCTACTGGCGGAGTCCGCCATTCGTACATGGGATTCAAACTGTGTCTATGCACAATTCAATTAAATTCAATTTTATTTGTATAACAAAAGTTATTTCAGGACACTTTTTAAATAGTGCAGGTCTAGACCGTACTCCTTATAACATTTTTACAGAGACCCATCACTTCCCACCATGAGCAAGACCTTGGTGACAGCGGCAAGGAAAAACTGTCCATCTGCCTCAGCCAGTTGGGGTTAGTTGGGGGTAAAGGGGGAAGGGGTGGTGGGGTAGAGAGAGAAAGAGATGCACAGCAATAACAACAGCAACAGTAACAACTATAATAGTAGAAATTAGATAATAATAATGATGATGAGAACAGCCATAACGATGAATAATAATAATAATAATAATAATAACAATAATAATAATGATGAGGATGAATAGTTTAGTAATGAATAATAATAATTGTGACAATAATATTAGCAGTGGGGGTCAAGCAGGACCATGGCAGCAGGCACCACCAGGATCCATGAGAACCTGTGAGAAAGCACAAAAACTCCAGGGAAGAAGTGAAGTTAGTAAGATGACATGCATTTTTTACCTGAAAAACAAACACATGATGTGGCAACACTTTTTAAAGCAATGATTAGTAACTGCGGACTTCCTTTCAGGCTATATGCAGTATGTATGTATTTTAAGACCTGATAATGGACTCCAAAATGGTGCCCTTTATGCAATTGAAAATTGCTGGCCCTGCAACACATAACCAAAAACGGTTTTCCGCTTCTTGGTTTCCTTCAATGTTGTGTGGCCCACTGCACATGCACATTAGTGTAGGAACGTTTTACAAATATTAAACCTTTATGATTAAAAATTCATAATACAGATGATAATTGACCATGTTTGCAGTTGTAGTTATCCTGTCAACAGGGTATTGTTTGGGTTTTTTCCAGTACCAGTGACTAAACAGTACCTGAACCTATACTTTAGAAAAAAAGATGCACAAAATGACTGTTTCTGACATTAAAGACCAGCTTTTATAACTGCTAAAGCTTATTACAATAAGTGCACAGTAACAATTAAAGGCAACTCAAATGAGTATTTCAATGTTTTAATCAACTGATATCTTATCTGGATCTGGCGACTGGATATAGAAATATGTTTAGAGAGATTTTTTTGAGTAAATCAAACCGAAACAAAACAACAAATTATATACTGTAAACATATAATGTATTTAAACAGTGGCCACATTTTCTGCCAAACACTAGGCTTGTGGCAATTGGCACACGTGATTATAAAAGCTCATACCCTAATAACTACTAACTTGCTACTGGAGCTAGTGTGTGCTGTAATGTTCTCCCATTTAACACAGTCGACGCTAATTAGTTTATGCCTGGCAGTTGTCCCGAGCCTGAGGCCACCTTGGCTATGCCTCACCTTCATTTCCCCTCAGATATTAGACACAACAGTCACTGAAAGTGGAAGATTTCACCCCTCCATTCTTGAGCCTCAGGCTGATGGGCCCTATTCACAACAAATAAGTGGATCAAACTGCAATGGGTGTGGGGGCAGTGCAGTCACTCAGTACATTGAGAGGGAAAAGGGCAGTGTCTATAAGCCTGTTTTCTCCCAAGTTTGGTCAAATTTATTGAAGCAGTTAAGTTTGGTTGGACAAATTTAGGGTGCTATTAAAAATAGCATCCTACTCTTTTCACCTCCTTTTGCATCTGAAATAGCCCGATGTGCTTGATTGTTTGAGTGACAGACGAGTGATTATGTGAGGGTGCCTTCTTTATTATGTTAATGTAAGTTGGTGCAGTTATGCAGCAATGTGGAAGGACTGCAACTTATCAGCCAATAAACATCTAATTTCAGCATCAAACTGGCCTCAACTTTCCTTAGACTGCTTATTTGCTAACTGACACTGAATCTCAGAGTTCAACAAAAGCTTTGGGATACAATAGCTGTAGAATGTTTTTAATTGCTTTGACAGTTACCTCCGATAACAGTATGAACATCCTTCAGAATCTTATCTTAATCTTTGAAGTGTAATGCAATTAGCCGTCAATGATTAATCTCCTCACATTACTAATTTTTATCCTGGTGGAGAGTGCTGCTTGTTTAACAGCTATATGGCAAAATTTGTGCATGACTGAGTTGATTTTGTACTCCAGTTTCACAGGATTGCTCAAGAAGAATTAACTTTAAGGTGCTTTTTGTTATTTTGTTTTTCATTTTTAGAAAGAAAGACAAAACAAAAAATCTATTAAATTCTCAACTGCACAAACACAGTGTACTCTGGACAGCTTGGAATGACCCAGCAAAAATCAACTGACTTTATTAGCCTGAAAAATGAGGGACAGTGGAAGAGATGACAGTACTTCAGCTTTCATTAACTCTAAATCACTTTCCACGCAGAGTGCAACAGTGCACAAAGGTAATTAATTTTCTCAAGGACAATTATTTTAGTGCGTTGAGATAATGACAAGAACTCCTCAAAGTTCAATCTCAGTAGATCCTGTAGGTGGTTTTGAAGGAAAATGATCCCCAAAGGCCTAATACAGTTGTGTGCCATCTCCGGTGACCAAGTTAATTCACCATGCAGCTTATATTTATTTGAGAGAACTTACTCTATTCACAGAATAACTTAGACTGTGGCTAAAACAATTGACATTTAACAGTTACAGTATACATTGACACAAGGAATATAGTACTTAAGGACAGTTGGAACTTCACAATGCAAATGTCTTCATATAGCGCTTGAAACGATTTGTGTGCTTGCTAATAATGATAAAACACTGGGCCAATATAGGCTTTAGCATTTTAATACTTTCATCTTTTAATTTTAATGTATTATCAATTTTTTTTAGTAGTAGAGCAAATGTTGCCAAATAACTGGTAGTGCCTTGTCTTGTTATGATAAATCAGCTGTACATAATTTGAAGCACAGTGAATGACACACAGGCACACAAGACAGGGTGATTATGGTTGTTATTTTTGTGGAAAGAGGCATACATCTTACCTGCAGTGCAGGTGGGAGTGGGTTGGTATTAGGAATAATACATTATCAGTAGGTGTGTTAGGGTCTAGCATCAATCTATCAGATCAGTTCCTCTCTTTCCTGTTAAGAAACAGAGCTCTCCCTTACATGGTGTCCCATCAGTTTTGCAATGGAGAGGAGAGTTAAGACTGGCTTCTCCCAAGAGAAAACAGATGTCCTTGTCTGGGAGTTGCAAGGCACAAATATATCGCACTTCAAATTTGCCGCCAAGGGCAGACAATGTCCCATTTTAACTTAAATTCATTTCAATTTCTGAAGATATTGAACTCGATGTGCACCAATAGTTTTAGTTTGGTAGAAACTGGATTAGCTACTAAGAGACTGTCCTTACCAGAAAAAGAACAGCATTAGTATGGGCTGATATTTGTGTCAGTAGAAACTGAATTTGAATTATTTAGAGCTGAATCTGAATTGCCCACAAATACACTAATCTCCCACACCTATAGGGACCCCCAGCAAGAACCTTGGTGACCCGCAAAGGAAAAACTGTCCATCCTGCCTCAGCCAGTTTGGGGTTAGTTGGGGGCGTAAAAGGGAAGGGTGGTGGGGTAGAGAGGAGAAAGAGATTGCAGCAGCAGATAACAACAGCAACGAGTAACCAACATAAATAGTAGAAATTAGATAATAATAATCGATGATGAGAACAGCCATAACGATGAATAATAATAATAATAATAATAATAACACATAATAATAATGGAATGAGGATGATAAGGTTTAGTAATGAATAATAATAATTGTGACAATAAATCTTGAAGCAGTGGGGGTCAAGCAGGACCACTGGCAGGCAAAGGCAGCCCACCAGGATCCATGAGAACCTGCGAGACGAGAGAAAAGCAAGAAGAACTCCGGGGAAGAAGTGAAGTTAGATAACATGCCATTAATGGGACATGAATGAGTGCATGGAAGAGAGAGAGAGGAGAAGAGGTAAGCTCAGTGCATCAATGGCGGAGTCCCGCTGGCAGTCTAGGCCTATAGCAGGCAATAACTAAGGAGGTTCAGGACTCACCTGATCCCAGCCCTAACTATAAGCTTTATCAAAAAGAGGAACGTCTTAAACCTACTCTTAAATGTGAGAGGTGTGTCTGCCTCCAGAACCACAACTGGAAAGCTGGTTCCACAGGAAGAGGAGCTTTGGTAAACTGAAGCTCTGGCTCCTGTTCTACTTTTAGAGACTATAGGAACCACAAGTAGCCCTGCAATTCAGAGAACGCAGTGTTCTAGAGGGGTAATAGGGTACTATGAGCTCTTCAAGATATGAAGGGGCCCTGGCCAAAAACATGAAAAGAACATTTCTTGCTTCAAACAAAAAAAAGCGCTTCAGTGCCGTTCGTTTGTTCTTTC